TACTCTGCTCCAGCACCACATTTCAAAGACATCAATTCTCCTTCTATCATCCCTAGTCATTGTCCAGCTCTCTGATGCATAGCAAGTAATTGCAAAGACTATGGCCTGTTATCAAGCACACCTTAGTCTCAAGACTGACATTGTTGCTCTTGAGTACTTTGGAGAGTTCTCTGACAGCTGACTTTCCCAATGCAATTCATCTTTTAATTTCCTGGTTGCTGGTACCAAGCGTGTTGATTGTTGAGCCTAGCAAACTGAAGCTGTCGACAATCTCAATCTCTTCACCATCTAATCATGATATGATATACAGGCAAAAATATTTAAAAATTTCTTTTTTGACATATTACTGTACATACCTAGAGATTAGGAAACAGAGTGGTGACATGTAAGAATAATTTTATCTAGAATATTATATGCTGTCTAGAGAGAAAAAATATCCTCATGCAATCATCTAAATGACTTCTAGAAGATTACATTTTAGGAACGTCAGAAGATTCTAAAAATTTTTAAAAGTAAAGAGAATAAACAACATTCAGTTAAAAAAAGAAAAAATATATTTTTAGATTACATTTGTAAATTACTTTATGTAGTTTATAGTTTATATATAGCTTTTAATTTCTATATTATCCTTGTCTCTTCATTATTGTTTTCACTTTGAAATAGTTACATTTGACATCTAACTGAACTTAAGAATTTAGTTGTGAGGGAAAATACAGTAATAGAGTTCTTTGGAAAATAACCATGAATTTTAAAAGTGTTTTATACTATAAGATGTATTAATTTGAAATATTAATCATGAAATATTTATCATGAATGTGTTTATTTATTTATTTATATATATGCAATCCATAATGTTAAAATATTTTATTTTTGTGAGTGAAAAGTGAAGTGAGAATTCTTTCTTTATTCAGTATGAATAATTGACGTTAAAATACAACAGAGCAACAGGGTATTATTTAAAGTTAAAATAGCCTAAGGTTACCAGGGATGTTTGGTGGGTAGAAATAGGGAGCTTCCCTGCTAACCCAAAGGCTGTGCTACTCTGGCATTTCAGTCCATCAGCAACTCCAAGGGAGAAAGATAGACAATATTCTCTTCTGCATTATACTGCTGGAGAGTCAGCTATGAATTCGTTCCAACTCATAACAGTGGCTTGTTTCTGTTTGGTTGAACCAAGAATAGACCAAATTTGAGGCATTCCTTCCAACTCTAGGGGGTAAGCTGGTGACTCCACCTTTACTTTGAGATAAGATCCTTCACATACAGTTCTGCCACTTACTTGGGTACCACAAGTATGATGTAATAAAGGCTTTTGCTTGATCTCTGAGGAAGCAGTAAGATAAAAAACACCAAAAGGTTTTGGAACCAGGCAGACTGCAGATTTAATCTTTAATCTGTCATCTATCTATTAGCTCTTCAAACTTGGCCAAAATAACTTTGCTTTTCTGAACTGCAGTTTCTTAATTTATAAAATAGAATATAATGCTTACTTTATACAGTTTATATTAGTTTTCAAAACAATGTGTGGAAAGTACCTGGAATAATAGGCATTTTGCAAGTAGCAAATGGGTATTTTGTATGTGTTGTTGTTATGTACCGTCGAGTTGCTTGCGACTCATAGCAACCCTATGTACAAGAGCCCTAAACCTTGCTCTATCCTGTGCCAACCTCATTGTCTCTGACACACCTACTCCCATTACCCCAGTCACTGAAATGATTCATCTCATTGAGGGTCTTCCTCTCCTGCGCTGTCCCTCCACTCTCCCAAACATGATGTACCTCTCCAAGGATCAGTCCCTCCTTGCAACATGACCAAAGTTTGCCAGATGAAGCTTCAGAATCCTTGACTCCAAGGAGCAGCCCAGCTTTACCCTCTCCAGGACAAACCTGTTTGTTCTCCTAGCAGTCCATAGTATATGCAACCCTCTTCTCCAGCATCACAGCTCAAAGGCATCAATTCTCTTCCTATAATTCCTAGTCACTGTCCAACTCTCTGATGCATAGCATGCAATTGTGAAGACAATAGCCCGGATCAGGCACACCTTAGTCTCCAGCCCGAGGTCGTTGCTCTTCAGTACTCTGGGCAAGATCCCTGACAGCTGACTTTCCCAGTGCAGTTCGTCTCTTGATTTCCTGGCTGCTGGTACCAAGTCTGTTGATTGTGGAGCCAAGCAAACTAAAACTGTTAACTATCTCAATCTCTTCACCGTCCATACTGATGGTGCCAGTTGGC